AGGTTTCGATACCTGTGGTGGGCAGAGCACAGATAGCCATTATGTAGCTTTGTGCTTAATTACAAACAAACAAACAAATCCATAAGTTAAGCAGCCACTTCTTTGAGAAATATAAAATTGTGTACATTTTGTTAAAATCTCACTAATTCGTTTGAGTAGGACATCGCACTGAATAGATTTTTCCTTACATTGTTGGTATAATATTTGTTTTACTTTTTTTAAACATTTATTTCTAGAAAGACCGTAATCAAAGTACAAGAAAACGTTTTTTCATATTTGATATAGCTAGAAAATGTGAAGAGGTGGATTTTCAAAAAATGTTTTAAAGCATTAATATATCTATTTTGACCCTGGATATTATAATTTAAGATCCCCTCCTTTTGTTCCTATTGCTTGGAATGTGTAATTGATTTTGTTAAAGAAACGTACTCTATTTTTTAGGGTGAAAATTAGTGTTATTGCTGTTGTTTTTTAACTTTCTTCTTCCATTTGAGCCAATTTTGATGATGTTTCAAAATGAATTTAGTTTATCATTAGTATAAATATCTAAACTATCTATTTAATCTTGTAATATCGAGAATGTGTCACTGACATGATTATGGTAATTTAATCGCATTATAAACATGCTCCATCTTCCCGCGCGTTGTAATTTAGACATGCGTACTTGATCTCAATAAATTACTTTCTTTCCCAGTGTTTTATTATAATTACTCTGATTAATATATTTATACTTATGAGCAATGCATCATGGAAGTAACTTTAGAACTTTAAGATCTTTTGTTTAAGAAATATGCGAACCCGCGATCCTCAGATTGCGAGTCGAGCGCCCTAACCACCTGGCCATGCCGGGCCCTTTAATTAAGGTAAATTATACTTGCTGTCTTGTTGTTAGAAATATGTTATGGAACTTGTAATTATTTGAAGGGTTTGTAATAGATCTTATTGCGATGGTTCAATACTTTAGACCGGTAGTCCTTATTAAGTTAACTATGAAAGGTTAATCTTTTTTTATGCTATTGATGTGATAGTAATTTTCACTAATAATTTGCATACAAGGTTATTAAAGTACGATATATATATATATATATATATATATATTTCTTTTTCTTAGGAATGCGTTATGGACATAGCTATGGGTATGAAAAGCACAAACGTTTGTAACCAAGGATTTCAGTCATATGGAACTCAGGGTGTGATGAACCAGATACCGAAAGAACTACAAAATAACCCTACTCTTTCAAGTAGTAATCAGGGATTTTTACCAGGATTTGTTAACAATTTTCAGAATCCTTTCACCACTCGTAACGGCTTTCAGAATCCTCTAGCGAACAGTAACGGATTTCAAAATCCTTTAACCAACAGTAACAGATTTCAGAATCCTTTCACTAACCGTAACGGGTTTCAGAATCCTCTAACGAACAGTAACAGATTTCAGAATCCTTTAACCAACAGTAACAGATTTCAGAATCCTTTCACTAATCGTAACGGGTTTTCAGAATCCTTTAACCAACAATAACAGATTTCAGAATCCCTTCACTAGTCGTAACGGGTTTCAGAATCCTTTAACCAACAGTAACAGATTTCAGAATCCTTTTACCAGTAGTAATGGTTTCCAAAATCCTTTAACCAACAGTAACAGATTTCCGAATCCTTTTACCAGTAGTAATGGTCTCCAGAATCCTTTCACTAGCCGTAACGGGTTTCAAAATCCTTTAACCAACAGTAACAGATTTCAGAATCCTTTAACCAGTAGTAATGGTTTCCAGAATCCTTTAACCAACAGTAACAGATTTCAGAATCCTTTCACCAGTAGTAATGGTTTCCAAAATCCTTTCACCAGTAGTAATGGTTT